AACATGAATTTCAGATACTTTGAACAGATACATGGGTCAAAATATTTTTGAAACTTACTTTTGCAAGTTTGGGCTGCAATTTTTGGGGAGAAATCCAAACAAACTAGAAACTAAACACGTATCAATGCTTAATGGGCTGATAAAGCTACATATGCAGACCTTTTGAGTTCTTATACAATTCTAATAATTCACTTCTATAAATTGTTTCAGTGTGGGCCTCATCATCCTATCTATAATGCCACTACAACAATTGTATGCTTCAGAATTCCCCTGTTCCTTAGTTGCACAGTCTTTAGGCTACAATCAAAGGGATCTCTGCAGAGTTCTCCTACTATCCTCTTGACGTTATCAATAGTAAGCATGATCCTTCCTGCAGTTTCACACAGTCTCAGGGTCAGTTGTCCCATAATGTGGCACATTTGGTTATCTGTTTCAATACAGTTTGAATAACCTTTATACAAAATGTTTGGGAGCAGAAGTGCTTTGGATTTCAGATTTTTCAGATTTTGCGATATCTTGAACATGAGACCCCAGTCTAAACATGAGATCTATTTATGTTTCATATACACCTTATACACATGGCCTGAAGGTAATTGTGTATAATATTTTAATCATTTTGTGCATGAAACAAAGTCTTTGTACACTGAAATGAAAGGCATCACTATTTCAACCACCCAATCAGAACCATTTTGGATATTTTGAGTTTTTAGGATTTTGGAATTCAAGATAATGGAAGTACACTATTAATATGGCAAGCCATGATGGAGTGTTGTCATCTAAATTTCTCTGCATTTCCGTTTTCTGGATGTAGCACTTTAAATTCTTTTGGACACTTTAAATTATTATCTGTAGTAAGGAATAGAATTCCAGTTATACCCAACAGTGTGATAACGTATTCACTTTAAAAATAAGGTTAATTGGTAAAATGGTTTTATCTATTTAAAAGGTGCACCTAATTCATTGGGAAAATATTTTAAAAATAATTATTTTATTCATATATATATATAAATGACAACTTTAACATGGCCACTTCAAAGATGGGAGGGGGGGGATTATAAGTTTTAAAGGCTATTTTAAGTGTATTTATTATATTTTAATTGGTTGTTTTTACCTTCATCCATACTGTATTATTTAATTTTTTTATATTTTTGTATTGTAATTTTTAAATTATGACCAAAGTGTGGGATTTTTAGCTGCCTTGAATCCCCATGAGGAGAAAGGTGGGGTATAAATAAAGTAAAATAATAATAATAATAATAATAATAATAATGGGTTGTTGTAGGTTTTTTGGGCTGTATGGCCATGTTCTAGAAGCATTCTCTCCTGACGTTTCGCCTGCATCTATGGCAGACATCCTCAGAGGCATCCTCTGAGGATGCCTGCCATAGATGCAGGTGAAACTTCAGGAGAGAATGCTTCAAGAACATGGCCATACARCCCAAAAAACATACAACAACCCAATGATTCCGGCCATGAAAGCCTTTGACAATACAACAACAACAACAACAACAACAACTTGGGAAGTGTCTGATGTGTGATCAAATACAAAAGCCAGCATAATGATCTTGTTTGCTGTGTACTGATCTTGTTGTGTATCTAAATAATAATAATAATAATAATAATAATAATAATAATAATAATAATAATATATTATTATTATTATTATTATTATTATTATTATTATTATTATTATTATTATTTAAGAAGCTGACACAATATGAGGATTTAAAGATTGAACTGCAAAAACTCTGGCACAAGCCAGTAAAGGTGGTCCCAGTGGTGATCGATACACTATGTGCAGTGCCTAAAGAGTTTGGCCTGCACTTAAAACACATTCGACGCTGGCAAAATTACCATCTGTCAGCTGCAAAAGGCCACCCTACTCAGATCTGCACACATTATTTGCTGATACATCGCACAGTCCTCGACATTTGGGAAATATCTGATGTATGATCCAGTACAAGAGCCAGCAGACCTTGTTTGCTGTGTACAAATCTTTTTGTGTTTCTAATGATAATAATAATAATAATAATAATAATAATAATAATAATAAATCACATAGTCCTAGACACTTGGGAAGTGTTTGACTTGTGATTTTGTGATATGAAATACAGCATATATATCTTGTTTGCTGTGACATACTGTAAAATAATAATAATAACAGTAATAATTTGAAACGCAGTGAGGATATACATTTTTTCTGAATGTTTTTGTCATATGCAGATTTAACCTATTAATTAGTTAAAATGGACATGGTCTAGGGGTTACTGTTGCTATTTTCTGCCTTGTTTGTAGGTTTTAGCTCACTGATCTCAGCTCAAAGCTCTGCTGTTGTTTTCTGGAAGGTGGCATCCTGCCTTTTCAGGCTATCATCTGCTTTCCGCCTGCCATCTTAGTCACCAGACTTCCTTCCTCTTCTTCACTCATGATAAAGCCATAAGGGGAGATCATGAGACATTTCTCTGAGATACCAGGACTTTGCAGACATGTCATGCCCATTTACTGCAGTAGGGATAAGACCTCTTTCAAAATATTGGAATGCTCCAGAGGGTAAATGTCAGGCAGATGGCTGGAGTTTAAGGCACTACTCTGCATTTGCAACTATTTATAGATAACAGTGATAGTAATAGCCGGATAATATAGATGCTGGGTAGTAATAGCAATATCTAGAAATATTTTCATATTTCTAGCTATTGCTGTTACTATCCAGCAATGTCCAGCCATTTATAATGGCATGCAAAACATGTCAGTAGATGATATGCATTTCCCCCAAAGTACTTCATTAGCATGTCCCAGCATCGATATAATTCTCAGCCGTATACCAGTTGGCATTCAGTTATTGATATATGTGTTATCTGGCACAGTGTATCTCAAAATGCAAACATTTATGCTATGTTGATTGGATGCCAGATTACAAACATAATAGGAAAGATAAAGGTTTCGCCTGACATTAAGTCTAGTCGTCTCGGACTCTGGAGGGTGGTGCTCATCTCCATTTCTGAGCCGAAGAGCCAGCGTTGTCCATAAACACCTCCAAGATCATGTTGCCACATGACTTCACAGAGCACCATTAGCTTCCCGCTGAAGTGGTCCCTGTTGATCTACTCTCTTTTGCATGTTTTTGAACTACTAGGTTGGCAGAAGCTGAACCTAACAGTGGGAGCTCACTCCACTCCCTGGATTCGAACTGCCAACCTTTTGGTCAGCAAGTTCAGCAGCTCAGTGGTTTAACCTGCTGCACTACCAGGGAGTCACAAACGTAATATATTAGTAGAAAGGTTAGTGTATCAGGTGGTCATCCAGTATAAGCCTTTTAGAGTTCTCACTTTCCTTTAAGGAAAGTGTTCCGTAGTCTCAATCTATGTAAAGCTACCCAACAAGATAACATGGTTTAGAGGAGCTTGTGCTTTGTAACAACAAAAAACCAGAACTTATGGGATGCAGCCATGGACACACAGAAGCAACTGTATCACCACCTCCCATTCCACAAGATTATGATAATGGTCCTTTGAAACATACCAGTCCTTGTATATGATGTATTCTCTCACTGTTGATTTTAGAAAAGAATGAATTCAAATGGTTGTGTATTGTTTCTACAAAAATGTGTAGTTATTGTTGTTTTCTACTAGCACTCTTTGGCCAATGAGCCAAGATGGTATGATATAACAGAACGTTCATAAATAATTGAGCATTTGGACAAATTGCACCATAAATACAGTAAATTACTTCTGTTATTTTGCATGAGTTAGGAAACACGTAGCTGACCTCACATGAACCGTCCCAAGGATATTTACTAGAAGTAAATGTGTGTGGCTTTTAGTATGTGAGTGTGAAACCAACATTTGTTTATGAAGTACAAACAAGAAAATAATTTATTGACATGTTTTAAGGTGATACAGAACTATTGGGGATTAGAATATATATATATATACATATGTAATGCACATATACTTTGTAATATGGCACACAGAAATTAATATTCATCTAGTGGGTGTGCTCCCCACATACTCATACGGATATACATATATGCTCACACAAAGAAGGTCCAAGTGTCCTTATCTAGGAGAAATTATGTGGATATGGGAACAAGAATCAAAGATGGAAACTGGGTAGATTTTGAGAGTGTTACTGCCTGAGAGAAATGATAGATAAAAAAAACTAGAGGAGGCTCTAACTTCATTACAGAAAATTAGAGGCAGCAGTTCACAAACTACATGAAGAATTCAGAGATATTTTGTTGTTTTCAAGTGGTGGAACTACTTGAAACTTGCTTTAAGATTTTATTTAAGTGCTAGGAAAATAATTCTACAAATTATTATAATTATCTCATGCAAAAAGACCATTGTTTAAGAATAAATTTGTTAAAATAATTGGCACAAGTCCCCAGGAAAATGTATTTTGTTAACCTCTATTAATATGACTAAACGTGAACAGTATTAATCTTTGTCAGGGTTCCATTTTTAAAGTCCTTTTGATTACAGTTACAATCTTAATTCCATGTTAAGTCTTTAGTGTTGTAGTGGTAAATCGGATTTGGAGGCCAGTTCTTTATGTCAGGGATGGCAAAGGATTTCCCTTGAGCTGCATGTGGTTCTTCTCCTGGAAACTTCTATCAGCAGTAATTCACTTTCCGGCACGGTTTAGCATATAGAACAGGCATGGGCAAACTTCGGCCCTGCAGGTGTTTTGAACTTCAACTCCCACAATTCTAAACAACCTGTCGGCTGTTAGGAATTGTGGGAGTTGAAGTCCAAAACACCTGCAGTACCAAATTCTGCCCATGCCTCATATAGACACTGTTTTTCAAAATAGGAAGTGAATTTCTGTTCATCTTTATTTTTGAGCATTCGGGGAAATCCATGTAACCCTTGAAGGACCCCATGAATGGAAGATTGCCCTTTCAAAAGAAGTTCTGGCCCTCTAAAACAACTTCAGACAGCTATGTCAGATTAATGATTGATGTTATTTAAAATTATTTATTTATTTATTTATTTATTTATTTATTTATTTATTTGCTACATTTGTATATCACCCCTCTCAGCCCGCAGGCGACTTGAGGTGGTTCAAAGGCAACAATTCAATGCCAACAACATCGTAAAAACATTAAAACATTAAAAAGCATTAACACATCAGTTAAGACCATAACAGTAGTAAAAAAACAAATCAACAAAAAAGAACCACTTATATTATTCCTTATTCTGTGAGCTTGTAATTTTCAGACTGGCATGGAGTTTAGTATTACAGCACTGCTTGAAACAAGTATTTTATCATGGACTATAACTGATGCCTTACCCAGACTTGTTGACTTAACCCTTCTTGGAAAAGTACATTGATTGGACTCCGCAAATAATTTAATTGGTTTATATTCCCTTATATGATCCCTAGAAGAGAAAACAATTACATTATTTTCAGAGAACGAGCTTTTTGATGTCCATGTTTGAATCTGGCAATAGGCTAAAAATAGTCTATTTTGCAAGTATTACTTTATCAAACCTAGTAGTAGGATGACATGGAATTCTTTCTAACTACCGTATATGCTCATATAAAAGCCACCTTGTGTATAAATCAAGGGTGGGATTTGGGGCCAAAATGTTGGATTTTTATATGACCTGTTAATAAGTCGAGGGTTATTTTGCAGAAAACACTAATGCAACCTCAGGAGGCCAGCTGTCCTTGGCTGTCACCACCATCTCCTGCCCAGCCATTCAAAAAGGCCAGAAGTGTCACCATGACAGAGAGAATAAAAGAGGTCACCGCTTCCTTTATGTTCTCCTGGAATGCCCTCTTTTTTGATAAGAATTAAGGTACAGTCCTACAGGAAAGAAGATTCCACCTTAACACTAGGAAGAACTTTCTAACTGTGAGAGTTGTTCAGCAGTGGAACTCTCTGCCCCAAAATGTGATGGAGGCTCCTCCTTTGGAGACTTTTAAACAGAGGCTGGATAGCCATCTGTCGAGGGTGCTTTGAATGAGATTTTACTGCTTCTTGGCAGGGGGTTGGACTGGATGGCCCATGAGGTCTCTTCTCACTCTGTGATTGTACTCACATTCACCCATGAATAAATCGTCCAAGGTTTTTTGGGTTGATTTTTTACTAAAATGTCTAGACTTATACATGAATGTATAGGGGAGTTGTACATGGCTGCACATTGTTGTTAAACAAGAAGAAACTGCAAATAAATTGTCAAGAGCATTGATTTCTGTCCTTTTGAACTCTCCCAGTGTTGCACACCTGCAGAAGCAGCTGCCCATATTTGTTGTTTGTGACAGAGCAACTGTTTTTAGGTACCACTCTACATCTATTTATAAAATCAGTGTGACAACTTGTGTAATGAAACAAATCAGTTAGCTTTAATATGATTTTTTTCTAAAAATATCACAAGTAGGTAGTGCCATCTGAATCCCACCTCTAATTTTTTCTTTTGCAGGGATTCTTGCCTACAGCACTTGTAAAAACACGTTATCCATACCTCAAGTAATTCTCATTTGTATTGATAAACCATATGATTGAGATATATATATATATATATATTTAAAGACTTATTTGGGGTGACAGTTTTTAATCCGACATTTAAAAAGTCTGCAATAGCACCAGTCTTAAAGAGGTAACTTTTTCCTGTGCATATTTGTTAGTTTTGGCATTTCAGAGGCTTTTCCCCATCCCAGCAAAAACATTTTAGTTTGGTTGCTGCAGAAACACAACTGTCTGTACATATGCTAAGGATTCAAAACAAACCACTTTATCCTGATCTAAGAAATATCCTCCTTAGAGAGGAAGGCGCATACGTACAAGAAGCATACAAACAAACGTCATACAGTGGAAGCGAACTGAAAACAAACCAGTATGTAAAGTAAATACATATTACAACAAAGAACTTCTGAGACGTTGCACACACCCACTCCTTCCTTTTGTTTATTATATCATTATAGTTTTGTATTGTTTGGATGCTAGAAGAGGAGGGGTCTTTTTTTTTTACTTGGACTGCAGACTGCTTATATAGCAGGAAAAAGTCTCCTGAGTGATATCCTGGTTTTCAGATGCTTTTGTTTTGATTGCTTTGTTGCCTATCTCAGCGTAACACATTGGATGTTCACAAAACATACTCTTGTATTACTTGCATAGGTATTGAGAAATCATGTGGTGAGATTGTGTAAACACCCCATGCAAACTGTGAAGAGTGAGTTGAACATCATGATAGAGGTCAGAACTGGTGGTGGTTGTTCCTGGTTTCACCCAGTGAGAGACTCCATTTGGTGAATTTAACCTAGGGATACCAATACCATATATTGACAAACATTTACAACTCTTATTACTGTATACTGAAAAGAAGCAGTGCTTCTGATCCTCAAAAATATATTGAAAGGGACATACCACAGTCTGGATACTTTCTCTTGAAAACCCCTTTTTCCCTCGTTATACCATTTGAAAAGGCAAACAATATCAAATGTTTCCTAATCTATATTCCTATATTCCAGCCATAGAAATCAAGGTTGTGTGGAGACATTCAATCTAATATATATTTATTTGTTAGGTAACTAATTCATAAAGCCATTCATCAACAACTTGGCTTACTAAGATTGAAAAACAAAAATACGTAGGACATTCTTATGCTCCGTGATGACAACATTGTGTGAAGGTAAAAAAGGTAAAGGTTTTCCCCTGACATTAAGTCCAGTCGTGTCCAATTCTGGGGTGTGGTGCTCATCTCCATTTCTAAGCCGAAGAGCCGGCGTTGTCCATAGACATCTCCAAGGTCATGTGGCCAGCATGATTACATGGAGTGTTGTTATCTTCCCGCCGGAGCGGTACCTAGCAGTTCGAAACACATTGTGTGAAACCGAAGTAAAAAAAAGCAAAGTAATTGTTAGCTGTTCATTTTCTTGCTGTGCCTGCTACAGCATGTGCCACATGATCCACCGACCCTCCAATCCTAGAAGATTCACACTATGGAGTTCTTGAAGGAGTTTTTGCTGATATCAGTGTTTCTGCTTCAAGCAGCATTTGTGCCTAAATGTTCCTTCGGTAGCTTCCAGTTGCCAGATGTTGAAAGGGGAGAGAGCTGTGTGTCTCCAATGTCACGAGAGCTTTCATCGGCAGCTGTTTTGACAGCACTTGATACTGATACGCTTCCTTGCCGTCTCAGTATTTTCATTATTGTTCTTTTGTATCCTCTGCACGCAAAGAAATAGATGAAAGGGTCAAAGCAGCAATTCAAATTCATCAGGAATACTGTGTAATGGAGAGTCTTCTGGAAGAGCTGTTGCTGGCTGCATGGAATGATAGGAAGCACAATCTTCTTAATCATGTGTATAATAATGGCCAGATGGTATGGCGTGAGACAGACGACAAAGACGACAATGATAAAAATGATAGTATTGATCGCTTTCTTGTTTGTTCCTGATTTTTCAGCGATAGAGTTTCCCTTTGCAGTTTTACAGAGTTTATAGCTAATTTTAGAGTAACAGATTAGTGTAATCCCAAGGGGAATTATGTATCCCAGTAAGCAGGCACCAAGGAGGATCCAAGGGAGATTGTCAATCATGTTCTCAAAGTTGGGATACTCCATGCATGTTATCTTACTTCCTTCGTCATGTGACATCATATGCATAAGTAATGGGAGAGTTTGTCCGAGTACAAGAAACCACACCAAAACGCAAATGTATGTGGCACATTTCACTCTTCTGACCTTGGTGCGTAAAGGATGAACCACAGCTAGAAACCTGTCAAAACTCAAACACGTCATAAAGTTCACAGCTGCATAAATGTTGATGTAAAAGACAAGAGCTGTGAGCTTGCACAATGTTTCTCCAAACGGCCAATGGAAGCCCAGTGCATAGTACGCTATTCTTGTAGGTAAAGCTGTAGTAAAAAGAATATCCGACACAACAAGATTTGCTGAGTAAATAGTGGTAGAATTCATCTTTTTTCTGTTTTTAATTATCACAGTGAGAGCAAGTCCATTTCCAAGTATTCCAACTATGAAGATACCACTGTAAAATGCAGGTAGAAAGATCCGTGCCGACTCCTTATGTTCATATAGGTCACAGGTTGTATTGTTAGCTTGATGGGACATGGCAGCCACTGTGGCTGAGAGTGTTGCCATAGTTGGTGGACTTCCAGGAAGTTTAGGAGGCCTAGAAAACAGAAGAAGGCATTGAACTGAAATATTTTTAATGAATACGAGTAATCTTATTTCTGTTTACATCTTTCTAATTGGGAAGTGTGGCATTTTGGAAAACCTTGGTTGTTTATATTTTGACTGCCTGCTTTAAAAAGTCTTCAGGCAGTTACACAGTATCATTTAGAAGCATAAAAATAACTTACAGTTTGCAAAATAACAGCAATAATGCCAAACAACTACCTATAGTAGTATTGAGAGAGAATATTAAGTTAGGTAGCAGTAGAGAAATACTTGAACAAATACTATGCACTGTTACTTTAAGATAAGTATTAATTATGCCGGGAAATACATGCAGGATTAAAATCTGAACCTACCAGAGGAATAGCCTTTCTCTACTAAGCAAAATTAATATTTGGAATAGGATCAATGATGTGTTGGTAGAAACAAGCGAATGGAAAATTAGATATGAAGACTGCTAAGAAAGCAAGACAATCCAAGAAGGAAGCAAAATGAATTTTCTCACATAAATTTGTTTTCACAAACCACTCAAGGAGCTCCCAGTTGAGCAGTGGGTTAAACCCTTGTCCCAGCAGGACTGAGGTTCGAATCCGAGTAGAGCACAGATGTGCTCCCTCTGTCAGCTCCAGCTCCCCATACAGGAACATGAGAGAAGCCTCCCACAAGGATGATAAGACATCAAAACATCCAGGCATCCCCTTGGCAACGTCCTTACAGATTGCGAATTATCTCACACCAGAAGCGACTTGCATTTTCTCAAGTCACTCCTGACACACACGCATACAAATAAACCACACTTATATATTTGCCATAGTCTCTATAAGTATTTGTGTCTAAGGATTAGTGTTTCCTCAAAGGAATGTGGTGTTTTGTGTGTGAAATTTTTCTGAACAGTTTTTCTTCTTGCCTCAAGTAGTAAAATAGGAGATTTTTACTCTTTCCAAAATTGTTTCTTTACATTCATGTTGTGCGTATTTACAGTTTTTTAGACTATCTACAAAAATAGGTAAAGTTCAGCAGTGTAGCGTACTGTACTTTAAAAAAACGTTATGCTTTATATAAATTGTGACTTGAAAGTTAATATATATATTATATACACAACTTTTCACTGTGTTTTGTGGTGTGAGGCAGACTTAGGATACTCAGTCATGCCATGGGTGTGGCATGCCAATTTACTATTCTTTCCTCTGTGTAGAATCACATCTCTCACATTGAGCATTTGCCATATTTCTCTAATATTTGTTTAAAATTGCGTTTTTACTACCATTTTATATTGCTTTTTGAATTATTATTTTTTCTAGGACAAACTTTTTCCTCCAGTGATTTGTTCGCACTGCATGACTAATAGTTGTTGTGTTAAACAATAGAATGTCCTCACTTGGCTGTGCGGAGTAGGAGTAGTGGAAGAGTAACATGCAGTGTTATTTATATTCACTCACAGAGTTTAAAGTTAAATTAAAAAGAAATGCCCTGGCTTCTGGGGAAGTGGCAAGAGAAGTGGCTGCGTGGTTTTCATCCTCTAGACTCTTGAGGTCCTACACTTGGTTGAGACAAATAGGTCCTGTGGATAGCAATCCAAATTGCTTAACACCAGTATTTCATAGCTGGCTTGCGGCAGTACTGTTATAAACAGGATATTGCTCCAATTTGTTGTCAAGTGGTTTCTGCATTTCTTTAACTGTCTTTGCTGGTGGGGATGTGTTATTTTTCTTCTCTGGAAACTTATGGGATTTGAGATGTACCTTCAGAAGCAAGCTCAATCTTTGCATATTCAATGTGAAACCTTACGCTGTTCTGCTGGACTTAGTCCTCTAACAGTAGGTTTAAACTGCATCTACACTGCCATATAATACATCTTCAGAATGTGGATTAACGGCATTGAATTGAGTTGTATGGCAATGTAGACTCATATAATCCAGTTCAATGCAGTTTATTCACATTCCGAAACTGCATTATATGGCAGTGTAGATGCAGCCTTAGTTTCGCAGCCAAGCTGTGATCTTTTGCATGCTATTCATGGAAAAGCCCACTGAACATGATGGAGCTTCTTTCTTAGTATACATATGTAGAATGTACTGTTTGCCCTCCATCTTATTGAGACATTTCATTCTTTTTGTCTGGAAAGAACAAAAAGGAACTTAGCTTGGGGGGAAAAACTAGAAAAGGGACAACAGATGCCAGAAAGAGGAAGGAAGACACTTTTCTAACTCCTGGTGATTTCTTATTTCAAGTGTCAGAAACTTGCAATAGGAAGCATGGGCAGATACCACTGTTCCTGACAGTGTATTTGTGTATTTTATGGCTTGTGGTCCCCATTTTCTGGGTTTCCAGTTGTTTCAGTGGAACTTCAGCTAAATTCAATCTTCTAGGTTTATTTCATTTGGAGCAATAACCCTGCCCTGATCTAGTTAGGAGCTTATCTGTCTAGAAAGGGTCATCCATTTCTCAATCTGTGCAAATAGGAGTTGTGTCAGTGACTTTCAATCCAGTCTAATAGATGGATGGCTATTGATTGGTTAAAACTCTTTCCTCCGATCCCAGTGCCTTCTTCATTATAAGGCTATAGTGAGGCTGTGAGTATTCTTACATGGTTCCAGGCCACCTGAATCCAAAATACCTATTTTTTTTAAAAAAAAATTAAGTCTTTCCCCCACATTTTGTAAGAAGAGTAAAGTTGTGATGGATTAACAGAAGAAAAAAAAAACAGCTAGAGGAGACAAAAATAAACCAGCATTTAAACATTTTAGAAATAAACTATACATAAAAGTTCTGCTAAAATATTAGAAGATTGTGCATGAAATAAAAGATTTATAATCACAAATCGATATGACAGTAAATTATTATGAAGGGGGGGATACTGGATGACCTACATATAATTCAGCTTCAAAATACCCCACCCAGCATGGTAAATGATCAGGACATCTGGGAGCTGTAGAGCCAAAGATTCTCCATCCACAATTGGACAAGCATTTGTTTATATGTGGAAGCATTTGGTAACACATGTTGTATTAAAATGTATGGCATTTGAAGAGCTAATACTGTGACTTTGCAGTTTGTGCAGTTTGCAGTTTTTATTAACAAAGACGACTGTTATCAAACTAATAACCATACATACATTTACCAAACATCAATCCCACTGAAAATATTGTGATTTTTCCTGCATTAATAGAATACAATTTCACTTTTTGAAAATGATGAATCATAAATGTGATTTTATCTACCTCTGATAATGCCAATTTTATAGGGTCTCTACCAGTTTAACAGCCCCCTGATGATGCAGCAGGTTAAACCACTGAGCTACTGAACTTGCTGACCAGAAGGTCGGCAGTTCGAATCTGGGAGCAGGGTGAGCTCCTGCTGTTAGGCTCAGCAAATGTGAGTAGATCAATAGGTACGGCACTCCATGCAACTATGCTGGCCACATGATCTTGGAGGTGTCTAGGGACAATGCTGGGTCTTCGGCTTAGAAATTGAAATTGAAATGAGCACCAACCCCCAGAGTCGAACATAGCTGTCAGGGCAAACCTTTACCTTTTACCTTACTAGTTTAACATAAAGAATACTATATTCTGAAAACATATTCAGCAAATGTCCGGGGTTACAATCTTGTTTAAGAATAAGATCCAGTGAGCTCAGTGGGAATGACTTGGGAGTAAACATGCTTCAACTTGGACTTCGAAAAACAGTATTTTAATTAAAGTAGAAGAACAACTTAAAGCATGTAAAAGAAACTCAGTCTAACAATTGCACACAATATAGCAAAGAAAGCCATTTTAGTTGAGGGGAGTTAAAATCCATGAAATAAAAACAGTTTTAGAAGAAATGCCTGTCAGAGTTAGAATTTAAAATAGCACATATTTTAAACACTAACAGTGGATAAAGAATACTTTAAAAAGTACCTCCTATCCTATAAACATTGGTCTCTTGTTGTCTAAATACTTGTCTTGGACCAGAACGTGATTTTCCCAGAACTGCTTTAGAAATAAACTAGAGCTTTACCAAGTAGTGTATTAAAAACAGACCCAAAACACTTACTTTAATGTTACCAGATTTTTTAAAAAATAGAACAAATATTTGTTTTAGGCATATCTTTTTCTCTTCTGATTATATCCCCTTGAGCTAAGTAACATAAATAACATCTTTGTCACTGACACAGAAATTGTGTTGGTGGATTCTGTTGCACTGGTCTGGACTGCAGTCCTGAAATTTATCTGTGAATTACTGCTGCCTGAGAAATATTTTTAATTTACTTCTTGGCTTCTTAAATCAATTAATTGTCTTTGTGCAGGGGAATAATATATAATATTACTGGTACTCACGCAACTGCTGTTCATGAAATCCTCCGTGTGTTTGTATTTGCCGCACATTTCATATGGAGCTGTTTCCTCTTTGCATGTTTTTCTTAAGAATGATTACGGTAGGTCAGACTAGCCTTTTATGACGTGGATGGCATTTCCCCTCCCTATAGCTGAAGTATACCTTAAAAAATATGGGAAGTGAGAACATCTATTCAGCTCGCATGTTTCATTGTTCTATTTTAGTCAAAAGCCCTGTGGGGTGTTAAAGACTTATTTTTTTAAAAAAAGTTTTGTGGGTTTTGTAGAAAAAAATGTTGCGTCACAAGATTATTTTTTTTAAATGATAGAACGACAAGATGTGGTGTTCCATGAAAGTAAGTTGAAAGTGATAACATTTTATGCAAGTTTGCACACAGCTTTTGTCTGTTGGCCTGATTTTGTATGAGCTACCACCTTGAACCATTTCTCCTTACGAGCGAGGCAGAACCTTCCTACTTGTGTTCTGCCAAGATCAAGATAGGTGTCGTGGTGCCAGCTATATGTTTCTTCTTCTGGATCATCCTTATTACCATATAAAATGAGGAGGAAGCCTTGTTTTACCAGTAAAAGGAAAGCAGATGCCAAAGGTTATGAATCTTAAGTTCTTTAATTCTCATCAGTGTCTCTTGCACTTTGCTACTCTGCTGCTGAATACGCATGCACAGTGAGGAATACATCTCACTACATTAAGACAATGGGTGTGGCTCTTAATGAGACATGCTGCATTATCACAGGATGTCTATGACACACACCACTGGAGAAATTACATTGTTAGCAGGTATTGCATCACCTGACATCTGTCAGGAAGTAGCAACTTATAATGAAAGGACTAAGGCCCATCTGTAATGAAAGGACATCTCCAGCCCATCCTCTGTTTGAATATCAGCAAGCAAGCTAATGCCTTAAATCAAGAAATAGCTTCCTAAGATCTACAGAGATACTCGCAGGAGCACCTCAGCAAGCAAGAATCCAAAAGTGGCAGGTTAAAACCCAGAACCTCAATCAGTGGCTGATACCAGATGAAAAACTCCCCCTGGGCACACAGAAGACTGGGCGACTTGGAAGATACTGAACAGGCTGTGCTCTGGCACCATGAGATGCAGAGCAGCTAACCTTAAGAAATGGGGCTACAAAGTGGAGTCCACAACATGTGAGTGTGGAGAAGGGCAAACCACAGACCACTTACTACAATGCAGTCTGAGCCCTGCCACATGCACAATGGAGGACCTTCTTACAGCGACACCAGAGGAACTCAAAGTGGCCAGCTTCTGGTCAAAGGAAATTTCGCATAATGCCAAGTTTTTATCTTTGTTTGTGGTTTTTCTATACATTATTACTGTGTTCTCAGTTCGCTTTTGATATGATAAACAAACAAACAAATAAATAAATATAAGTGTCCCTAGACATTTGCCTTTCTTCCTGGCAGGTTGTGATCATTGCTCCTCTTCAGTATGTTGCTTTTTCTGTCAATGCTTATAGACCACAAGGGGACATTTTAGTCCTCCATATTCACTTTTCTTCTGAAGAATTTACATAGAAGTTGACCCACAATATACATTGTATATACAATATACATTGTACAACATTGACACGTACACCGTATCGAAAAATTGATCATGTTAAGAGCTTTCCCCTATAAACAAGCAAAATTTTTCTAATATGATGTTATCTTACTACAACAGAAAGAAAAAATCTGTGCTGTTTTTTCAAACCTACCAACCATTTGGTTGTTGGTAGGGTTTCCCATTGAAGGAAAATTGGATTTTTCCCAATTAATGTAGACAGTTAAGTTCACTGGTGTGGAAAATGTTAGTGCAAGAGGAATGCATTTTTAAAATTTTATAACATTGTGTTTGTTTTTATTCCGTCTCGCCTTTTTTGGCTCCGTTTAATAGAGCACACTTGATTCTGCACTTTTTCAGCATGGAACCATCTAATACCCTTCAATAATTAGAATTATTTTACAAAAATGCAAATCTGTTTACCCTAGTATATGGCGGTTGAAGCAAGATATTTACACTCTTCTAAACTGAGTGGACACATAAACATTTAACATCTTTCTTTGCCCAGAATAACACAGAGAATCTGGTATGGTATGTGTTTGTGTGCGCATTCAAGTTGCCTGTCAGCTTATGGTGACTCCCATAAATTTCACAGGGTTTCTTAGGTAATGAATTCTTAAGAGGTAGTTTTGTCAGTTCAGTCTACTGGAATATAGCCTACAGCTCTGGCATTTGTTGACAGTCTCTCACCCAAATAGTCACCTTGCTCAGCTCCCAAGATCAGACAGGATCTGGTATTCAGGCTGTGGAAGTGTGGTATAATGTAGTTGACTCTTTGTGTTGATGCAGCAATCTTTGGAGTTGTGTAGTGGTAGATCCTTCATTTTAGTAAAAGAGATAGACATTTTAAAGCCTGATATCTGCAAAGTAAAGACTTTCTATATATATGAGATTTCAATATTAATGTCCAAAATATGTAGTATGATTTTACATAGGATTTGTGCTACATTGGAACAGTAAAGATAAATATCACTTAAGTAAAATAAACATTAAATATTAAATAACCTAAAAAATAAAATAAGGCGTAAACACTAAACTGATCTGGGAATCTGCTATTGCAACACATCCAAAGAAGTGGTTTAAAACCAGTATGAAAAAGATTAGGACTAAGTATGTTCCAGTCCACATGAAATACACGAAGCTCATTCCAGAAGCGTGTTTAAGAACTGGTCCAAGATTCCAGAAGAGCCTTTACTCCCAATGTGACCATCATCCCAGTTTTTTTGCTAGTTAACTTGTACCCAGTATGTTTTATTATGCCAATTCTTTGGCATAATAGTTGCCTCTCGCTAGCATCGTGGTGAAAACTGGGCGTTTGTTGGCGATTCTGTGTAAGATTTGAGTTCATATGCAGCGCTGCATACGGAAAACTTTACAGAAAACTCACATTTATGTCTTACTTAAATATAAGGCTCTGTGGAACGGATAGATGTAAAAAAAATGAAACCTTGGTATGACAATGGGAGTGAAATGACTGATACAATCTAATTTATCACAAGTTTGTGGCAAAACATGAAGAAATTGAAACTAATTTACATTTCCAAAAGGTTGTGTTGTCTGCTTGTACCTGTGAGACAATAAAGGTAGCATTTACTAGAGGAAATTACCCAGGGTATCTACAAGCCTAATTTCCCTGAAACATCTCTTTATACTGGGGGCGGGGGAATTCTGCATGAGTAAATTCCAAGCAGTCAGTGCAGTTCTTAGTCCATGAAAGATATAAATATTATTCAGTCCAGAATCAGATTTGTTCATTTACTCAGCAGAATTAAGGGGTTAGTTATGTTTATGGCAATTTGTAAATATGTTTGGTATATTCTTCTAATTGTTTTTAGAAGCAGCAATACAATGCTCCTGTTAAGAAAATACAGACAATAGTATTTGTGATTCAAAATGTATACTGTAGTCATTTTGACAGTTGATTACCTGTAACAAAATCCTTTGGCTTTCATGTCTGTGATGCTCTTCATTCTGCGTAAAATCCCACATGTCCAGAGTGCTTGTTTCTGGTTCTTTCCAGTAATCATCTTCATAATGCCACTAAAGTGGTTGAATTTAGTAGCACTCTACTACATTCAGATAATGTTAGCTTATGTAAATGTTTAAGTTTAGAGCCAAGTATACAATTTTCAATGCCATGCAATTTTTAATGGCTGGAATCTACTATTTAAGATTACATTTATGGTAGAAGAATATGTATGCATGTGTGTATGCATATGCACACAGAGAGGCGCATCAAATATTTGAATGTTTTTATATGTAACAGCTTTCTTCCTTGATGTGTTACTTTAGATATGTGGGATTTGACGTTCAGCTTTGATCCAGCCCGTTAGACTATCCACCAAGTCAGCCTGCTGAACATTACACTGTGTTTTGGAAAGAATTATAGTACAAAATATTTAAACAGCTTGACTCATATCTCATTATGAGGTTCCTTCTTCCACAGTACTATAACCCTTAAAAAGCAATTTTTATGTATCACAGAATTAGCTGCCAGCTCTCTTAAAAGAGAGTTCGTGGTGTAATAAATCTCTTAAAGTCTATTGTAAATTGACTTTGTTCCATTATGTGGGCGGAGGCCACCAAGGGGCACTAGAGAGAGAAGGATAATCCATTTTATGGGGGTGGAGGGTGGGTTGAAGAAGGAAAATCATTTCCCCTTTTTTCCTGTTATTCCCTTCACCCATATCCCCGCTGTGGAAACAACTCTCTTTATGAAATGGGAAGTGGTGAGGGGAAATAATCAGCAAAAATGTGGGAAATTATTTTCCTCCTTCAGCTTCCCCTCTGTAAAATAGACTATTCTAAATAGTACTTACTTTTTATGAAGTACAGCCGAAGCATCTTCTGCAGAGTCCATTGAAAACACTGCAAAACAGATTTGTGTAAATATCTAAAACAGCCACAAGGTGAGATTTAGAATTTGTCAACATTCCCCCAACATTAAGCTAAGGGGATCCCATTTAGGGTCATGTCCCACAGTTAAGCACTTCATCCCACAAGGGGGTAAGTAGGTGTAATTGTCTTCTTTGCATGGCGTTTCATAGGGTTCTATCTTTAAGGAAGATGGAGAACTTACTTAACTCCATTACACAGGAATGTCTCCTCCATTTTCTAATTCAACCATTTCAATTATACTTTTTAAAACAGGCATCCTTTTTGAGACACCACTTTCCATGGGGGCATTCTCCTGAAGCCCCTACACTAATGTAGACAGACACACTCTTTAAAACACTTATTTCAATGGGACACATACAGTCTATAAACCACTAAGCATTAGCAGACCAGCCACATGAGCATCCACAATGAAATATCACAAAGTAATTGGACAAATTCACCACTTTCTATCACAAGGCAAAATGCTCATTTTTAAAAGTTTCTATGCGCAGGAAAAGGAATGGAGTTGATTTCTGCCCTTCTTTGAAATCCTCCCGTTGCTACACACTGCAGAGATGGAGTCCCATGAGCAACCACCAGAAGCAGTCCTTCGTCGTTTGATGGGCTCCATGACAGTCTGTCTTTGAAGTATGTAGAAACTGATATAAATGGAGAAAACATACGTATGATGAGGTCATAAGAATTAGTGATATAGACCACCAAAAGGGTTTTGGA